GGGGCAGTGAAGCACCACGATGTCGGGCGCGGGCCTGCGGGGCGACGTCGCCTGCGTGTCGCGCGATGCGCCACCGCGCTGCTGCCAGGGCGAAGCGCCCGGCAGGGATGCTCGGACAGCAGCAGACACCTCAGCAGGGTGAGGTGCACGGCAAACAGGGCATGTGAGAACCGAGTTGCTCTGAATGCAGGGCTCGATGCAGAACGAATGGAAACCATGACCACACGGCAGTTGCAATTCGTCTTTTGGAGCCAGTGTGTCCAGGCAAATTGGGCACGCCATTGGGGCCAGAATTGTTGATGCGAGCAATTGCAATGCTGGCGACGATGACGCTTCGGGTTGTTCATGATTATTGCAATAATGTTTATGGATATTGTTCCCGAGATGTGGATGACGAGGTTGATGGTGATGATGGCAGCGAAGACGACGATGATGGTGGTGATGATGCATGTAACGTCCGATCGAGCTCAGCATATTGGAGTATACGTCAACACATGACAGCCGAACCTAATGTGGAGGAGAGTGAGGAGCAGAAGAGGATAACGAGGGGGGTCAGGAAGAGATCGGTGATGGGAACTGCAACGATTATGGGTTGACGGCGCAGTTGTTTCGCGCAATCGGTTACGCTTCAGCCCTCGACGTCCTGAGAAGATAGCGATAGAAATTGCGCTGCACGGAATGACAAGGCATGGTCGTCTCCAAACGAGATCTGAACACCGCCCTTGGAATTGATTGTCTTATCCCTCAAAAGGGCGGCGATATTCGCAGGGACATCAGGAGGCATCTCCGACACACCGTTTACGTAGAAGCATGGGGACCTCTGGAGATCTCGAACCTTGAGCGGCGTGCCCCCCGTCCAGATGAATCGTGCAGCACGTCGCCCCTGGCCTCTGTAGGCCAAGAGCCTTCGCCTCGGCTGGAATGCGCTTGATGTCGGCCTCGATTTTCCCTCCCTTGATGCCCTCTGGGCGCACGGCCGGCTTGCCTCTTTTCGGGGGCGGCCCGGCATGCTCTCCAGCATCGGCTTCTATTTGGTCAACGTCGCGGGTCTGAGCGGCCGCAGGCCTCCGCTTGGCAACCTCTTTCTTTGCGGGCTTCCCCCGCGTGGGAGGCGCAGCTGGGCCTGCGGGCTTGTACGCCGACTTCCCGTTGACCAGGGAAGAATCCAGCAACTCCAACTCCAATTAAGTTGCGTACTTCGGCCATTTGGCAATGACGCAACCGTTGCCCCCGCGTGCGTAAGTGGCTTCTAAGTGCTTGCCGTTTGACATGACGAGATAGGCCGTTCAATTGTCAGCGTCGAAGGTTTTGAAGACGGGCACCAATTCGTCGTCGTCCTCATCGCTGGACCCTTCGTCTTCGACCTGCACGCCACGGAAAGCAGGCAATGGATGGGGGCGAACAGGTGGCCCTGGCGTGCTTGTGTCTTGCGCCCCTTGGATAACACGGTAGATGTCCACCAGCTCTCGAGGGTGCGACTTCTTGACCGAATATTTGGTATTGTAGGTCAGTTTTTCCTAATCGTCGTGTTTGGACCTCGTTTGAGACAACATTATTCGGACCCAGTATGCACACTTCTTCGGGCCAGATTCGGGGGTAAGCTCTTGCATTTTAACCCATTCATCCCAAATCTTTTTGTGGTCCTCTTTCACGGACAAACGTTTGATTGCGCCTTCTACGTCAGGTTGCAAGTAGCAGCCCCCTCGTTTGTCCAATTCCATCAAGCGCCGGAGCATGCCTGAAAGTGCTTGTAGCTTGGGGACATCGATTCCGACCTTCATGTCGGTGCTGGGGTAGACGCAGTTTCCTCTCATCATAATGCTGGCGAAGTCCGGCTCCAGGGCCTCGTGCAGGTAATCCTCTGCGGGGGGCTTCCATGCGGCAGGATGCTTAGCAGCTGCCATCGCAGCGCAAAACAGAACGTTACATATGGATGCGAACAATGCGAAACTTCGGCCCAAATGGCTATAGTGTTGTTTGTTTGCGGGGCTGGTTTCACTTGTTGTTTGGTTATTGATTTCTTGCTAGGCCGGCTTCACTTGTTCGTTGTACTCGTTGTTTTGTTGATTGCGGTGTATTGCTTTGTGCCGCAATGAATTGATGCGGTTCCTTCGGACTTGTATTGTCGGTTTTCTGGTTGTTTTTGCGAGTTACATTTGATTACGCCCTGTTCCAGGGGTGCCGGTGCTTTGCCCCTGCTCTTGATTAGTGTGTGTGTGTGTCTTGTGCCCGCGTGTGCTTGCGCGCGCGCGTGTAGGTGTGCGCGTGCGCATGTGAGTCTGTGCGTGTGCGTGTGTGTGTGTATGTATGCGTGCGTGCGTGCGAGTGCGTTCGCGTTGCTTGCCGTTTTCCGCGTTGCACCGTGCGTTCGGATTCGAAAGGGACCCATCGCGGACTTTCCCAAGGGAGGCGCGTTGGGATCGCAAAACCGTTTGCAATCCGCCGAAGCCATCAGGGCCACCGGGTGCGTCTGCAAAAATACGGAATATCAATCCCTGGGATGGGCTCGCCTCGAGCTCGCGGCGTCTCGACGCGCCGCGCCGCCGCCTGTCATCCTTGAAGGTTGCAAGCGGCGGGCGGCGCGCGCCGATATCGACGCGTTGCGATCGGAGGGCGCTCCGAAATGCAACGTGTCTGGAAATTTACGAGACGCCGTAACATAATTAACTCGACCAAGTTTTCGAGACAGACTAAACAATGGAAGAGGAAGAGAGGCGCGCGGTGTTGCGCGGAAAAGACGCCCATGAAGCGGGGGTGAGCCGCGGGCGGGTCGCAGGGCTGGTCGCGCGGCGACGACGACGACGAATCCAACGCACATCAAAATGGATCCGCACCGGGGAATCCCACTTAACCCGCGCACCCGTGGACAGCGTAATACCGTTCAGCCTCTTCGCTCTAATAAAAAGTGAGACGGTCTGCTGAGGCGTTTGCAACGTATGTAGCACGACGAGGGGCGCGATGTCGAACGAAGCATGATCGAGCAAATGATCTTGTTGGCTTTGCATATTTCTGGAGAGCCCCGCATCTTCGATTCCCCGCCTGGGATCTAATGATCCTCGATCTAGAACCGTGGTGGATTCTCTGGATCCACGATCACGATCGAAGGCGGCTTCGATGTTGGGGCGGATCTTCCATCAAGATCGATGATATCCCAAAACTGTTCTCGATGTTCGATGTTTTACGAAGATTGGAAGCCCAGGGAATGGGGAGGGAAGGGACTTCGTTCGACGTCTTTCTGGAATCTGGTGGATTCGCGGGCTTCTTGGGCCAGGGCCGGGGCTGGAACCGGGACCGGAGCCGGAGCCGGGGTCGGGTGCCGGGGTCAGGGCCGGAGCCCGGCCAAGGCCGGGGGAAGCGTATACGACCCGGGACTTCCTTGGGACCCCCCCTTCCCCGGCGGGAAGGGAAGGGAAGGGACTTCCTTCGACGTTTTTCTGGAATTTGGTGGAACCGCGGGATTCGCGGGCTTCCTGGGAGAGGCGTCGTTTCTGACCCGTCAATCAGGACAGCCTCAGAGGGAACAAGGAAGAACCGAACAGCCTCTTCCACACGCCGACACAGGGTCGGTGGATTTTCTGCCTTTGGAGGCCTCTGTCGGGCCCTGGGACTGTCAGAAACGGCTCCAGGGTGAAGCGCGATTGTGAAAACAAAAAATTGACCCCTGGAGGGGTCCAGGGACCGATCTTAAGCGAACTTGGCCTCGTCGCCCTGCCCTCGCCGATCAGCAGTTCAGACAACTGGATGGGCGGCGGGGGCAGTGTTCCGATTTCGTCGAGCTCGTGGCAAAATCCGAACCCCACCCCCGCCTCCCATCGGTTCAGGGGAATCGATGTTCAGTGGGGGTAGGGTTCGGATGTCGCCACCCAGAGCGGGCACATAGTGGTGGACCCGGGCACTCGTCGGGCCCAGGGCCTGGGGAGGTCGTTCCGAGAAGGCCACGGCGCCCGATAATCACGTCCCGCAGAGCCGCCGCATCACGGAGATCCCTAATTGGTCCAGATCCGGTGTTGTCGCGTTTTCTGGCTTCGCTTCACGGCAGGCTCGCAAACCTCCCATGGGGAGTTTGGAGGAGGAGGAGGAGGAGGAGGAGGAGGAGGAGGAGGAGGACGAGGAGAGAGGAGGAGGAGGAGAGAGGAGGAGGAGAGAGGAGGAGGAGGAGGAGGAGGGAAAGGAGGGAAGGGAAAAGGAGGCGAGGAGGAGGGGACGAGGAGGAGCCGCCCGCACGAACCAAGCAAGCAGCTGCTGCTGTGTTTGGGGGGGGGGGCCCTCCTGCGGCCCTCGCGGCGGGGCCCCAGTGGTGTACTGCATTGAGGCTGGCCTTCCATTTGAAGTTGCACCAGGCTTCCGCCAGCCAGGGCTACGGACCTCCCATCCTCCTCCTCCGCCTCCTCCTCCTCCCTCCTATTCCTCCCCCTCCCCCTCCTCCTCCTCCTCCCTCCCTCCTCCCTCCTCTCTACTCTCTCCTCTCCCTCCTCCTTCTCCTCCTCCTCCTCCTCCTCCCTCCTCCTCCTCCTCCTCCTCGGGAAAGGGGTCGGGACGTCCGGGGGCCGTATTGAACCGAAGCCAGGCTTTTTTTTTTTTTTTTTTTTTTTTCCCGGCCCCAGGGACCCACAGGAGACAGCCCACGGCGCGACATCCGTACGGATGGTTGGGTCTCGATAGATTCTGGAGGCGCTCGGGAGCGGAGATCGTTCCGTGGAGGGGGTAAATCAGCCGCCGGAAAAATTACCCCGGCTGCCCGCAACGGGCCAGGGGCGTAGTGTGGAGTGGTCTCTACATATCCTCCTTCCCCATGTTTCCCCTCCACCTCCTCCTCCTGCTCCATGCCCTTCCCCTTGCCTAATTTTGGAAGGAGGATTCCAGCTTCTGCTGGACAGCGATGCAGTCACCTGCCTTTGCATTGTTGAGAATCTGGCAGAGTCAGAGAGGGCGTCGAGTCGTGCTCCAGGCTCCAGACACCGCCGAAAACGTCCTCGCCCACACTTTCGCAAACATCCGAGCCCTCAATCCACCCCACTCCTGGGTTCTTCCTTCTCCTCCACCACCCGTGAGCTTGCTATGCTCGTGGGCAGTTTCGTGGCGGCGGACGTTGGCCATGGCATGTTCAAAAATCAGGCATGTGTGGCTGCTTGTGGAGTGTTTGCAGTGCACAAGTCCTCCTCCCCCCTCATCCGCATTCTCCCCCATCCTTCCCCCCCGTCTCTCTTCTCCTGCCTCGGAAGCACCTGGAAAGCAGAAGCCGAATTGCCAATGCCCCCCGAGAAACCGCAGAGATCTTGCCAAAACAACAGCAACTAATCATCGGACGCCCGCCGACTCCCGCCGCCGACGACGACGACGACGACGAGCACGACGACGACGAGCACGACGAGCACGACGACGCCGACGACGACGACGACGAAGACGATTAACCGCCGATGGCGACCACAACGACGATCAGGCGATTAGACGGCAGCCAGACGACGCAGACGACGAGAAAACGACGAGATGACGACGAAGACGACAGCTTGACGACGACGAGACCGCACCGAGACGACGGCCCAGGTGCGATGGGTCCAAAAGTCACTAGAGGCCCCCTGAGGTTTCCAGAGGCGCCCATGGGCCTCTGGAGGCCTCCAGGGGCCCCAAGGGGCCACCCTCTGACCTGGAGCCTCTGACCTCGGAGCCTCGGGCCCCAAACTGCTTCTAAACCTTTGAGCCTCGAACCCCGAGCGCCGAACCTCGAGCCGCGAGCCTCTAAACTCGAACCTCGAGCCTCTGACATCTGAGCCCGAGGGCCTCGAAAGGCTTTGGGCCTCGAGCAGCCTCGAGGGCCAGGGTGCGGCGCGGGCTGGAAGGCGAGCTGCTGTTCCTGGGGCGCGCCGCCGGCGAGCTCGTGGACCTCATCCGGCCGGCAGCGCTCGACGGAGGCGTAGGAGACCGCGCGTCCCGCCCCGCCAGATCTCCTCTAGGCCTCCTCGATGGGGCCGGAGTAGATGGGGTCGGAGGATCGCGCCGCATCGCCGATGCATCGGCGATGCGGCTCGATGTGGGGCCTAGTTTTCTCTACGCCGACGTCGCCAGTGCATCGCCGCTGTATCGGCGATGCGGCGAGACCCTCCGACCCCATGTATATTCGGGCCCCATCGAGGAGGCATCTGTAGCTGCCCTGATATTCTTTTGTTGAAGCGCAACTCAAAAAGGTCTGTGTCAACACGTTGCGTGTTGGCTCAACGTATTGGCCCACGCGTTTGGCGAACGTGTCGCGTCATACGTACGTTTCTTGTCTGCGTAACTATTGAGTTTCGTGCCAATATACGCTGTTGCTTGTTGCGTATCGGGGCAGTTCAGGCGCGTGTGTTGCGTATCGGGGTATCAATACGCTACGTGGCGCTCTGGCGATATGAGGCGTTCCACAAGGGGCTTTGCCATTGAGGATCGAAGGTTGTTGTCATCTCTTCCTCGGCGGAAGGCGGCGGAAGGGTGGCGGGAGGTCGGCTGAAGTAGAATGAGGCCGCCTCCGCCAGCGGAAGCCAGCAGAAGGGCGGTGGAAGGCGGCGGACGTAAAAGACGCGCCCCCAAGAGATGAACACGTTTTTGGGTTCAGGGTTTCTGGAATCGGGCGTGTGATCTTTTTCACTCGCAGTTTTCTGTCGCTTTCAGCCCGCGGGAGCCGTTTTCGGGCCGCGGCTTAAGACATGTGTATCGGCGGATGTCCGGGGACCGCGCGCCCCCCCCCCTCGGGTCGGATGAGACCCAGAGATCCGGGCGTTGCATGTATGTATTCTACCACTATTTAGTCGCAACTATTTCTCTTCATCTTTGGTGCCAATGCAAAAAAGACACGGGCGTTGCAACTCGTTCAGTTCACCTTGCGCGTTTTCGCCCCAGTTTCGGCCCCAGGACCGTCACATATCGATCCGACTCGAACAATTTCGCAGACAGATGGGGTCTGGGGCTCCTCCTCTGGTCGTGATATGTCGCGATATTGTAACTTTTCCGCAACGTCGGATCGCAGGGCCTCCAGTCGGACGAGCGGCCGGGATAGGCAAAGAGGGTGCTATGTACGAGATCTGCCGCATGCAGCTGGTTTCGGAATCGCCGCTGGGCATTTTCCTCTCGATGAAGTGACCCCTCCAGCGCCACGAGGCGCCGGAGAAGTCATCTACGCGAGCTGATTCGCCAACCCGCTCTTTGCTATCCCCCGCTTCCGTCCGATCCGACCCCTCCCTATGAGGTCGCCACGAGCCAGAGACAGGGTCAACGTCAGGAAAAAATGCAAGTGGATATTCTTTTATGGTAGTAGCCCTCGGGGGCCACTTCTTGGGCCTGGGGATGGACGACACAAGCTGGCTACGAGGAAGGGGTCGGGACTACTTGAAGCCCACGCATCGCCAGATGCTGGCCAGGGGGCCCCACTGTGGGGGTGGGGTCTTGGGTCTCGGGACCTTCGTAGAAGGTCCCAGGGAACGCCGCGAAGGGGAGCCCCTCGGCCCAGGACCCCTCGTTCCCCTTGAACCCCCTGCAGTTGTCATGGCAGCGGAGGGAGGGCCTCTGCGCGAGAGCCTGGCCACTTGAGGCCGTCCCTCGCGCCTGCTTGGCCCACTTGGGCTGCGAGTCGGTTCCCGGCACGGTCCGGGTGCGGCACGGGTTGGACATGCGGTGAGGATGTTCAGATTGATAGTGTTGTTGGCGATGATGAGCGTGGTGGCCATGGCGATGGCGATGGCGATGCTGCTACTGATGATGATGCTGATGATGATGACGATGATGATGATGATGATGATGATGATGATGATGATGATGATGATGATGATGATAATGCTGATGCTGATGCTGATGCTGATGCTGATGCTGATGCTGATGCTGATGCTGATGCTGATGCTGATGCTGATGCTGATGATGATGACGATGATGAGGAGGATGATGATGACGATGATGATAAGGAGAAGGAGGAGGATGAGGATGAGGATGAGGACGCGTGTGAAGGCAAGAGCCAGCAACGATGCTGGAATAAACCCTCCCTCCAAGCTCCCTCTTCAGAGGCCCGTGCAACGGTTAGTTTCCATTAAGGAAACTGCCTCATTGGAAGACAACCGTTCGAAGACCCTGAAGCATGCCAAAAACTTGTTTTCGAGATTCCAACGCCACGGCTCAACTTGACTGTTGCGTTTTGACGATCCTGAATCGGGCCAGATCGCCGTTCTTGGGACTTCAGTATTGCAAACGAGTGTAACAATCCGGGTTCTTTCCAAAACACCATTTCTGGTATTTTGATCATGAGAATCCGTGAAGCTCTTGCAACGTTTATTGACGAATTCGCGCGGCGCTGAGGCGAGAGCCACATTTTGAAAACGATCCGCACTCAATCCGTGAAGCTCTTGCATTTTTTTGAACGGGTGTGCGCGGCGCTAAAGCGAGAGCCACATTGTGAAAACGACCCGCCCTCAATCCGTGAAGCTCTTGCAAAATGTTTACAGCGAATGTGCGCGGCGCTAGTGCGAGAATCACATTTTGAAAACGTCCCGCCCTCCATAGGTGAAGCTGTTGCCAATTCTGAAGCTTCAGGGTCATGAGATGTCATGAGTGTCTCAGGCGAAACGCCCGGCCCGCCCTAAAAACTGGCCTCGGGGTGCGGCAGGGGGAAGTTGATTATAAGGAGAAGGAATTGAGGATAATAACCAGTTTGATGATGATGATGATGATGCTGAAAATGACGACGACGATGATGATGATGATGATGATGATGATGATGATGATGATGATGATGATGATGATGATGATGATGATGATGATGATGCTGCTGATGATGACGATGATGACGATGATGTTGATGCTGGTGCTGATGCTGTTGATGCCGATGATGATTCGTAAGGGTTTCGCCCCCTGCCGCCGGCCCCCTTTCTCGGAGAATGGGCCATGGAAGAGCGAAGTCATGAGGCTTTGGCTTTGCCGTGAAGCAGTGTCGGGACCTATGTGTTTTTCGACCCTGACCCTGCCGATCTGCGTGAGGGTTGCCGCCGAATTTCAGACATGTGGCACCTTCTGTTTTTGGACCCTGACCCTACGGATCTGCGTGAGGGGTGCCACCGAATTTCAGAAAATGTGGCAAATCCCTTGTGTTTTTGGACCCTGACCCCGCCGATCTGCGTGAGGGGTGCCACCGAATTTCAAACATGTGGAACATCCCTCGTGTTTTTGGACCCTGACCCCGCCGATCTGCGTGAGGGGTGCCACCGAATTTCAGAAATGTGGCACATTCCAAGTGCTTGTGGACCCTGACCCCGCCGATCTGCGTGAGGGGTGTTAGGAAATTTCAGAAATGTTGCAAATTCGTTCTGTTTTTGGACCCTGACCCCGCCGATCTGCGTGAGGGGTGCCACCGAATTTAAAACATGCGGAAACTCCTTTGTGTTTTTGGACCCTGACCCCGCCGATCTGCGTGAGGGGTGTCGTCGAATTTCACAAATGTAGCAAATCCCATTTGTTTTTGGACCCTGACCCCGCCGATCTGCGTGAGGGGTGTCACCGAATTTCAGAAATGTGGCAACTCTCTTGTGTTTTTGGACCCTGACCCCGCCGATCGGCGTGAGGGGTGTCACCGAATTTCAGACATGTTTCAAATGCCATGTGTTTTTGGACCCTGACCCCGCCGATCTGCGTGAGGGGTGCCACCGAATTTTAGAAATGTGGCAAATCCTTTGTGTTTTTGGGCCCTGACCCCGCCGATCTGCGTGAGGGGTGTCAATTCTTACCCTTCCAGGAATTCTGAGAATCCTCCCGGGGAACGCTAACCAGGGTGGTTTTCGGCTCCCCCCCCCCCGCGCGGACAGTAACAATTATAACAATGGAAACTGGAAACAATGGAAACTGGAAACTGGAACTGGTGCAGGGAGCAGCAAGCTTAACCCTCGCAGCCTGATGGGCCCCGCAAGAAGGCCGGCGGATTCTGATGATGATGATGACGACGATGATGATGATGATGATGATGATGATGATGATGATGATGATGATGATGATGATGATGATGGTGACTTTTTTTTTTTCTCTTCTTTGTTTTTTTTTATTATTTATTTTTTGTTTTTGGTTTTGTTTTTTTTTTTCTTTTATGATGATGATGATGATGATGATGATGATGATGATGATGATGATGATGATGATGATGATGAT